GACCCTCTCACTGACAGCAGGCCAGGCATGCCCTTCACAACCAGTAAAAACATCACACAGAGACAACCAGCCAGGCTTCCAGTAACCGAGTGGCACCCCGGTTCCTGGACCTGGGTGGGGGCCCTGGAGCTGGGGGTTCCCATGGGGACCCCCTGCCCCACTCAGCCACCCCACGATTCTGTCACAAGACACATGTTCCCTCAGGTGCCCAAATGGCCCCTTGATGACCTGAGGGCTGAGTGCAAAGTGTGAGTGCAGAGGCACCTCAGGGACCACTGGCGACCCCGGCCTTGATGTGTGATAGGGCAGCCATGTCCCTGGTGCTCTACCACCATGGGCTGGGGAAACGCCCCGGAACAGTTAACCTGCTGCCACTCACCCCAGACGGGCAGGTTGAGCAAGTCCCCTGGAGAGCGTCGCCCTGCACAGCCTGCTGATTGGTGACGGGGGCTCAGCCCTGACCAGCTTAGCGCCCGCTCTCCCCAGAAAGCAGACCAGGTGGCTCATGGACAGAGACCCTCCATCACATGGTTAGGCAAAGAGGGAGGCTTCTGCTCTCAGCCTGCCCGCTGGTCCTGCTTGGTCCACTGACCCCACAGAGCTGGAGTCTCTGCGTCCCCTGCTTAGGCCTCGAGGGGCCGGGCAGCGCCAATCTCGCATGCCTGTGAACAGTTGTGCAGGGCACCTGCTCTCCCCAAGATCTTGAACATGCCCATCGCACAGTGAGGCTGGCTCCATGACCTGCTGTTCCTGCTGCTCCCTGCAGCCCTGCCTGGGTAGGAGTTGAGGGAGGACCTCTGAAGGGCCACGGAGCTCTCTCTGACCTTCCTCCTCTCCCAACTCCTGGCCCAGTGCGAGCCTCCTCATTAGCTGCTAATTGTGCTCCGTGCCAGGCCTCCCAGGGCTGTTGCCGGATCACACCTGTTGACAAGATGTGGCAGCCCCGGTGGGAAGGTGTCCGGTGTTGATTATGGTGCTAATGATGTGCTCATTGCCCTCAGTAATTCCCCAAATAAACACTGTGTCTGGGATGCAAATCTTGCTTATAAAACCGGGGCAAGTGGTGGTGGTAGGGGAGGCAGAGGACAACGGTAGCTCAGGCTCAGGGCCAAATCGTCCAGAAGACATGAGAGTAAAGGTCCCCTTGTTGTAGGAGACCCCTAGCTGGCCCCCCACACTAACAAACTAGCCCTGCTTTACAAAAAAAAATGCGGGGGTGGGTTTTGAAAGGTGAGACCCACTAGTGTGGGTAGGAGGCCAGCCCTGTACTCAGAGGGTTTCACCCGACTGTCCACACAGGCAGGAGCTCATGGACCCAGCCCCCTCCCCACTCCTCTCACCTGGCTGTGCCTGGGCCCCCAAACTTAATACAGGCAGTTCTCAGTAGCTGATCCCAAAGTGCTGGGGGCAGCAGAGGGAAGCCCCCTCCCCCGTGGTCCCAGCTGTGCCTGATGAGGGGGAGCCTCTTGGTGGGTCCTGTGGGCCCTCACCCTGGATGCACAGTCCTCCTCCTATAGGTCAGCCATGCAGAGCAGGGGAGGAGCAAACCCCACTCTGTCCAATTTCTTTGGGGTCTTAGACCCACAACACAGTAACATTGGAGAATGCAATAAGCGTTTTGAAATCCCATGTTTAGGAATCATTTGTTTTGGAAAATACAAAATAGCTTTTACTTGTCCCCACCCTGGGTCATTTTACTCCGGCTAGCTGCCCCAGAAAGGCATCTGCTAGCCCAGCCCTGGCTCTGCAGCACAGACAGGAGGGCATGGCCCGGACTGTGTCCCCTCCATCCCACCAGCCCCCTTGAGGGCCAGCCCAGCCCAGCTGGGAGGTGAGCTGCAACCTGGTGAGATGTATCCCATTATGTAGCTGTCCTCCAGCCCCTGAGGATCCCATAAAAACCTAGACATGTGGCTGTGGTGGGCTGAATGGTGCCCTCAAGTATGTCCAGCCAGACTCTATGAATGGGAGTTAATTTGGAAAAAAGTTTGTGTGGATGTAATTAAGTTAAGAATCTCTAGATGAGGTCTCTGGGTGAAGGTGGTCCCTAAATCCAATTGTCCTTGTACGAGAAGACACACAGGATTTGTATGACCACAAAGGCAGAAACAAGAGCGACACTGCCCCAAGCCTAGGACCATCTGGAGCCTCCAGACGCCGGACATGGAGAAGGATCCTTCCCCGGCCTTTGGAGGGGGCACAGCTCTGCCCACACCATGATTTCAGACTGCTGGTCTCCAGAACGGAGAAAATTTCTGTTGTTTTAACACCCACCCTCCACCCCAGTTTGTGGTCCTTTGTTACAGCAGCTCCAGGACACTCACACAGGGACAATCCCCTGGAGGGTGAAACTGACACCAACCCACAGGAGGGGTTAGGCAGCTCTATAGGCTTGGTGGAAACCACACTTGCGCCCACTCCATGGCTGGCTGACTTTGGGCAAACCTGTGGGCACATCGGAGCAGAGGCCGGGCTCTGCACCTGTTCCTGCTCAGGGAAATGGGTGCCCACACACAGTCACAGCAGCTGCAGGGCCAGCCGGCCGACCTGGCCACAGGAGCCGTGGCCCTCCATGGGTCCTCAGCTGGCCCTTGAGTACGGACCCCCACCCAACGCGTGCACACTCTGGTATTGCACATGGGAAACGCACGGTAAATACTCGCTAATGATGATGATGAAACAATTTGCAAAATGTGCGAGCAGGCACACAAGAGGCGAGGCATAATGTTGGCTCTAGAGCTTGGGGACCCAGTCACGTAGGCACTCCTACAGGGATGGCTGGACCAACGGTTCGAGCCTGGACAGACCAAAATGTACTTACTGCCTGGCCTCTTGGGACTACCTTGGGGCAGCCAAGTTGAACGGCAGCCTCTAGCCCCCTCGTTTTTTAAAATCCTCACCCAAAGATAAGTTTGTGTGTGTCTGTGTGTGTGTGTGTGTGTGTGTGTGTGTGTGTGTGTGTTTTAAATATGTTTTTATTAATTTCAGAGAAGAAGGGAGAGGGAGAGATAAAAACACCAATCATGAGAGAGCATCATTGATCGGCTGCCTCCTGCACGCCCCCTACTGGGGATCAAGCATGCAATCGGAATCAAACCTGGGGCCCTTCACTCCATAGGCAGACCTTCTATCCACTGAGCCAAACCGGCTAGTCCCCAAAGATACATTTTTATTGGTTCTTGGAGAAAGAGGAAGGGAGAGAGACAAGGAGAGAAACATCAATGTGAGAGAGAAACATTGATCAGTTGCCTCCCATATGCGCCCAGACTGGGGATAAAACCCACAATCTCAACCAACTGAGCCACCCAACCAGGACTGGCCCCCTCATTTTTTAAATAGGTTTACTGAGATATCAGATCACATATTATAAAATTTGCCCATAAAAACTGAGATCTATCTTGCGTATCTACGTGTCAAACTCCTCCCCTCCAGCGTTGGGGGAACTATAACCTCCTCTCCCCAAATGTAGATGATCCTTTGCCCCACAGTCAAAGCCCAAGCCCCCTCCACTGTAAATCCTTTCCATCAGGCTGGTGTAAGGGATCCTGGCCCTGCCCCCATCCCCAACAGCACTCGTTACCGTCACAAGTTTTTTGCAAACCTACTCTGGGGCACTTCCGTGAAACTAAGTTTATTTTGTGCTCCACCGGTTATAATAACTAGTGGGATCTTTCCGGTTCCAGGCATCACGCCTACGACCTTGCTCAGGTACAGCCAGGACAGGGGGGCAGGTGTTGCTGGGAAGCCTACCTGGGGCAGCTGCTGGCAAATGTCCTCTCCTGGGAGCCAAAAGGACTGGCTGCCGGGCTTGAAGAGGTCGCACCAGTAGGTGGTCTCGGCTCCCTGGATAGTGAAGTAAACCCACATGCAGGTGCAGGAGTTACCAGGTAGTGGTTCACATCAGGGCAAGAACCCCAAGAAGCGCAGGTGCCCAGCCCGGGCGGGCCCCCCAGGAAGTCGCCAACACTCTGGGGCTGAGCCAGCTGGGGCCCGGGGACGGGCTCGACCACGGGAGTTTTCTGCAAAGCCCTAACAAAACGTGACAATTAAATGTATAACTGGCCCTGACCGGTTTGGCTCAGTGGATAGAGCCTCGGCCTGCAGACTGAAGGGTCCCAGGTTCGATTCTGGTCAAGGGCATGTACCTGGGTTGCGGGCACATCCCCAGTAGGGGGGTGTGCAGGAGGCAGCTGATCGATGTTTCTCTCTCGTCGATGTTTCTGACTCTCTATCGCTCTCCCTTCCTCTCTGTAAAAAATCAATAATATATATATATATTTTAAATGTGTAACTATACTTGGCACGTTTAATAAGTGGTTTAAGAATTGGGTCCGACAGCAGCAGTCCTGTTTCGGGTTTTAAAATCTTACAGGCAAATGGAGTCTTCCCAGGCCGGTCTCCAAATAGCAGGAGGGGGTGCGGAGGCCTCCCAGGAGCTCCGGGGCCGCCCAGACCCACGGCCCTGCGCCGAGCAGCGGAGAGGGGGGACCGCTCCCGTCGCCATCCCTTTGCTTTGCTTCGGGAACTGGCGCCCTGTGCGCAGGCGCCTCCGAGTTCTTGGGCTGCCGGCGAGGCTTGACCGAGGGAAGCAAGGCGGCGGCCTCCGCGAGCTCCCGGGCGGGGGCCCCGGGCCGCACACCCGCGGGCAGGCGAGCCCCGGGGAGGGAGGGAGATGTCCTTCGTGCCCACGCGGGCCCTCCGCCCGTGCCCGGTGGGCGGGGAAGGTGCCGGCGAGAACTGTGCTCCTCCGCGGCACCGGGTCCGCCAGCAGGGGGCGCGCGCCCTCCAGGCGGGACGCCCCGGCGCCGGGCCAGGCGCGCACGCGCCGCGCGAGCTGCTTTCCGGCAGCGTGGCGGAACCTCCGCGCCGTTTCGCGCCGTTTGGGGACGCCCGCGCGCCGCGCCGGACGGCAGTACGGCCGCCATGGCGTCGCCCTTCAGCGGGGCGCTGCAGCTGACGGACTTGGATGACTTCATAGGGCCGTCTCAGGTGGGCCGGCCGGCCGGGCGGGCGGACGGGCGGAGGGGCCTGGCTCCCGTCTGTGTCGCCCCCTGGGAAATGGCTCGGGACCCCGGCACGTGCCCCCGGGGTCCGACGCCAGGGAGGGCGGTCCCCACCGGGTTCCTCCGCCCCAGGGCGAGTCCGCGGGTTTGGGGGCCGGGGCTCGCCGCCCGCGCAGCCCAGAGAGACAAGCAGGAGCCAGTTATCGCGGTGCCCTCGGGGCGACCGGGTTCGGGGAGTGCGGAGTCTGCCAGGCCCTCCATCCTGCCGTCCTTCTTCACGGTTCGCTTTCACTGCCTGTCAGGGCGCCTGAGAGAACAGGGCTGGGAGGGCCGGGGCATAGAAGCTGCGCCTGGGGCTTCGCGGGCGGGTGTACGGAAGCCCGAGGGTGCCGGGCTCAGGATTGGGTGGGGAAGACCCTGCCCAGCTTCTCTGCAAACAGGGAGGCGTCCCACCCCAGTCGCCCGAGCAGGGCAGCTGGTCCGCTGGAGTCCCCCCGCCCCGTGGCTGCCCGGTGGCTGTCAGGGTGTGTGGTCCTTGGCGTTGCCCTCCCGGAGGAGAGCGCTTGCCCCTAAAGGAGACCGGCAACTAGCTTGGGAAGGGGCGCTGTCCCTCCATGGTGTCCCTGCCCATCCATTGCCAGCAGCGGTGCAGGCCCGAGTCCCAGGAGGAGGACGGGAGCACCCCTAGGCAGGGGTGAGCCGGGACAGGCCTCCTGCCCGGTCTTCCTGGGGCTGGTCATGTTTGGGAAGGCCGTGGCCAGCGAGGCTCTCCTAGTGATAAGGTGGCAGATGGGAAGGTGGGGAGAGAAATGAGCTTTTTCCTCGGGCACTAGGCAGGGTGAGTGCAGACAGAGCACTCCTGCCACTTCCTACGCTTCCTCTCAGCAGCCCACTGCTCTAGCCAGTGTAACACTGGCCGCTGGCTGGGGGGGGTGGGGGGGGTGCCTCCGGGTCACACTGAGAAGAGTAAAGGTCAGAGTCGGTGGTGCGTGCTGACAGGTTAGCATGCAGGCCCGGTTAGCACCAGCCTTACGTGGACTGACCTGCAGAGTGCCCCTCAGTGCCCGCAGGCGCGAGAGCCTGTGCCGGTGGGAGAGCCACCCCTCTTCCTTAGGAGCCTCTGCGCACTCAGGCCTGGTTGGGGTCTCTCCCTGGGGTAGGACTGCATCAAGCCCATGAAGGTAGAGAAGAAGCTGGGACGTGGCGTGGCCAAGATCCACATTGAAGATGACGGGACTTACTTCCAAGTGAGTCAGGTAAGTTCCAGCCCAGATGACCTGAAACCCATTTCACCATTCCATCCAGCCACAAGCGCAGTGACCAGGAGACCTCCCACTCCTGCCAGTCCTTTTTCCCGGCTCAGATTCACTGACTGTCAGGGAGGCTGAGAGAACAGGAATGAATGGGAGGGGCCGGGGACGGAGAAGCTGAATATGGAGCTTGATTTGTTCTGCAGCGGGGGTTCTTTTTGCAGGGATGGTAGTTGCCATCTTCCCCTCTGTCTGTCTCTGTCTCTGAGTTCTAATTGCATAAGATTTTCCTATTTAGACCCCTTGTTCTTAGTGAATACCTACTTCCTGTATAATTAACAATGACAAAATCCTGATCTAATGGTGTTAAAAGTCACCCCACTGCTCTAGCCAGTGTGCTCAGTGGTTAGAGTGACAGCTGATGCACAGAGGGTCCCAGGTTCCATTCCGGGTGAAGGGCACATGATGTACCTGGGTTGCAAGTTCCATCCCCTGCCTGGGTCTGGGCACGTGAGAGAGGCAACCAATTGATGTGTCTCTCACATCAATGTTTCTCTCTCTCTGCCTCCCTCCCTTCTACACTGTCTTAAAAAAGCAATGGAAAAAATATCCTCAGGTGAGGATTAACAACAACAAAATTTCCACCCCGCCTATCTGCCATTTGAACTCTGTGCCATCCCGTGGACTATAGGCACCAGGCGTACTGGGCCCAGGAACCCCTTCCGAGCAGGGGGAGGAGCCCCAAGGTAACTCCTGGTGGGGGTGGACAGTGGATCAAGCCTTTACAGGGAAAAAGCTGGCTATTCACTTGGTGCAGGCGGGTGAACACCTCAGGGCGCCCACCTGTTGCAGCACAGGGGGCTGGGTTCTTTTTAGGGAAAAGACACCTCAGGAGGGGCCCATGAATGAGGGGACCTCATTGCAGTGGGGGTGCCAGTGTGTCCTGCTGTCCAGAACAGCAGTGCTTGATGTGGAGGGAAGGTGGGAAGCTCATCAGCCTCCTGCCTGGGACTGCATTGCATCCCGGGCCTTTAGGCTGATCTGACTCTAGAAGTACGTATTGAGCTCAAATGGTGGCTTTGTGCAAAGCGCAGGCCTAGTGAACTTAGCTGAGAGTCCCAGTCTCGGCCTCTGTGGCTCACCTGGCCTTGGTTCAGACCGTGCCTGCTTCTGCGAAAGGAGTGAAGGGGCGCAGCTGGGATAATCTGCATCTAAGAGTCCCTGAGTTTCAGCCTGGATACTGGACTCAAATACCAGTTCTCTGCTTGGCAAAGGCTGATTTGTTGCTGTCCATTGTGTCTTTCTCAACTCCAGGTGCTGGCCCGGGGCAGATATAGCCACTGCACAGGCCCCACCATTCCTCCCTCTGCCCTCTTTCCTTCTTCCTTTCTCCTTTCCCTGGCCGTTCTCTTCCTCTTTCAGAGCCTGGCCTTTGGCATTTTCCTGTCCTCATGGTCTCATGAGTGCAGCCTGGGGACCAGCAACCCCTCCGGGACTCTGTGGAGAGTCGCCAGCCTCCACCTGCGTTTGTACCAGTCCGAATTCGATGGTGCTATTTAAATGTAAAATGAGTATAAGTACTCCTGTAATAAGTAACTTTTAAAACTTCAGTGGCACGTAAAGCCAGCTAACTGTCATGTTGGTTGTCAGTGGTGTGAGCAAGAGAATCAAGGTTTCCAGGAGGTCCCGCTATCCTCAGAGCTCTCTTTCCTCATTACCGGGTTCTTGTGCTTCCAGGACGGAGGGACACGGAAGCTGGAAAGGGCCAAAATCTCACTGGACGACTGTCTGGCTTGCAGTGGCTGTGTCACCTCAGCAGAGACCGTGCTCATCACTCAGCAGAGCCATGAGGAGCTGCGGAAGATTCTAGATGCCAATAAGGTAAGTGGTGGACAGTCTTTGAGACTCTGCTGTAACCCAACATCAGCCCCAGCATCCTTCATTCATGCTGTCAAGGACAGCTCCTCTCCTGGTACTGTTTGTCCTGCGTCTCCAGTGACCCCACCTTTTTAAGTCTACTCCATGGGATCTCAAAGAATTCCTTGTCAGTATTTTGACAGTGAAGTGTCAGGCCCTGAATTTGGGTTCTGTGTACATAAAAACGGCATGCCCCGATGAGCTGGGCCCTTGCCAGCTCGGTACACTGGGAATCAGTGTAAAACTCCCACGTGAATGGTGTGTCCTTCGCTTTGCAGACAGCAGCTCCTGGTCAGCAGAAGCTGGTTGTCATTTCAGTCTCACCTCAGTCCAGTGCATCGCTGGCTGCAAGATTTCAGTTGAATCCTACAGACACCGCCAAGAAGTTAACTGCATTCTTTAAAAAACTAGGTAGGTGAGGAACCTTGTGTGAGTGCTACAGTTTGGAACACAGGCATGGAGAGGGGGCTCCTCACGCCTCCAAATCACTGAACTTACACGTATCAGAAACTATTATGAGTTTGACTTTAACTTGAAGTTTTTGCTTGATGGTTGGAAGCAGTGCCATTTAAGAGGAAGCCATCTGAATCCTGACTGCACTCTGCCAGATCTGAGATTCGCCCACTCTTATTGTTTCTGAATATCATTATCAAGGCATATTTCCCAGGCCCGTTCTGGGTCTGGCTCAGATCGAATGGCTGACCTCTTTATATGCCAGGAGCAGGGAGGAGGTTTGGGTGAGCCTGGTGCAGACTGATGTCCTAGGCCAGTGGTGAGAAAACTGCGGCTCACGAGCCACATGCGGCTCTTTGGCCCCTTGAATGTGGCTCTTCCACAAAATACTGACTTCTGCGCATGGGCCATGAATTTCAATCGCACTGTACGTGTGCACCCGCACGTGGTATTTTGTGGGAGAGTCACACTCAAGGGGCCAAAGAGCCGCATGTGGCTCATGAGCCGCAGTTAGCCGGCCACTGTCCTAGGTGATGCCAAGCGCAGATGAAGGAGGCCATTTGTCAAACGCAAGCTTCCCAGATAGCAACACAGGCTGTCCGTCCACAGCACAGCATGTCCTGTGACACTGTAACTGTGTGCTTCCTGTGGCCACTGGGAGGCAGACCCCCTGCTTCTGGGGGCATGGTCAACAGCACCTCGCACTTTGCCATCCCTCATGGGGCTCATGGGTGCTCACCTTGCAGGGGCGCACTACGTGTTTGATACCGCCTTCTCGAGGAACTTCAGTCTCCTGGAGAGCCAGCGAGAGTTTGTGCGGCGATTCCGAGAACAGGCCAGCTCCAAGCAGGCCTTGCCCATGCTGGCGTCTGCCTGCCCAGGTGTGCTCACACTGCTGACCAGATGAGCTGGATATGGGTAGTGGGAATGCTGGAGGGGGGGCGAGGGGGTTCTGTCAGCCCAGAACGGCCTCTTTGGCAGGAGCTGCTCTGCTCTGAAAGTCACGTGTAGTCACTTCAGTTCCCCCAAGACAGTAATCACGTGGCTGCTAGAAATAGAGTGGGATGTTCTTTAATGGGATGGGACTCCTTGTACAAGTAGGTCCACCCCCAGAATGTCATGTCACAGCCCACAGTGAGAGGTGAGTTATGAGCCACCCCCATTTGTTCCAAATTGGCCTCAGGCTGGATCTGCTATGCCGAGAAGACCCATGGGAGCGCCATCATCCCCTACATCAGCACCGCCAAGTCCCCACAGCAGGTCATGGGCTCCCTGGTCAAGGACTTCTTCGCCCAGCAGCAGGTACGGACATCCAGCGATGAGTGATTTGGTGTCATTGTCTTGAAAGATGAGCTAAGACCTGCAGTGTCCAGGGACCCACTCACAGACTTGTGGTCACTCCCGGCTGTTTCAGGCCGTGCCTGTGGGGTCACCCTGTTTCACCCTAAGAGGACCTCTTTGCTGCTGGGGTCAGGCAGTGACTCCAGGTTCCATTTCTCTCCGTACAGCATGTGACTCCAGACAAGATCCACCACGTGACAGTGATGCCCTGCTATGACAAGAAGCTGGAAGCGTCCAGACCTGACTTTTTTAGCCAGGAACACCAGACGCGAGATGTGGATTGTGTCATCACGACAGGTGTGGGTCCTGCCGCCCTGAGCCCCTGCACCTCCAGGTCCAGGGCACAGTCTGGCATTGCCTAGGGCTGCCCCCAGGCTCTGGCTAGAGCTGTCGTCCCGTGTGCAGAGCACCTCCCTCAAGAGCCTGGTTGGTGTTTACAGCTGTCTTGTCTCAGGGACCTGAAGCAGACTGGTCTCCCAGCACCACCAGTGTCTGCTCTAAAATAGTCTGTACAGCCCAGTCAGCGTGACCCAGCACTTGAGCATCAACCTATGAACCTTGGAGGTGACAGTTCGATTCCTGGTCAGGGCACATGCCCGGATTGCAGGCTCGATCCCCTGTGTTGGCCGTGTAGGAGGCAGTTGATTGGTGATTCTCATCATTGATGTTTCTATCTCTCTCTCCCTCTTCCTTCCTCTCTGAAATAAATAAAAATTATATATATATGAATGATAGTCTGTACAAGGAGATGGGTGGAGAGTTTTGTCAGCCTTCTGGCTCACATTGATTATCCCATTTCTGAGTTGAGCAGCCTCACAGTGTCTCCAAATATTTTTAAAAATTTAAAAAAAGAAAGAAAAATAATAAATGCTGGAGAACTCAAACAGGAAGGTCTCCATGCATAAGCACATGCCCAGATGGCACCCTACTGTGGAGCACCTGGGATTGGGGCATTCTGAGCCCCACCCAGTCACTGTGAGGGGGTGCAGTCCCAGGGCCCTCCTGAGGGTCTTCAGAAGTGGAGTCTTCACTGCTGTGCCCAGGTTTGTCCTCTACCCACAAGCCAGCGGGTGGATATCCAGACCTCAGGTGACAAGTTACAGGTTGCTAGGGGTGCAGAGCATGTGGGTGTTCTTGACATTCTCTGTTTTTACTGAAATCCCAGCTGATGAGCGTCTGTGCTGTGGTTCCATTGCAGGAGAAGTTTTCAAGTTGCTGGAAGAAGAAGGGGTCTCACTGTCAGAACTGGAGCCAGCCCCCCTGGACAGTGTGTAAGTCACTACCTGTCATAGTGGAAGGGATGAACAGACATTCGGTGTCGGGGCACTGTTGACATTGGGGGTCGAAGGTCCTGGCCAGCAGCCAAAGCATGTGGTAATGGGCAGTGTCCCCCTCCCCACCTCTTCCCACCATAGCTTCCTTCTGGTTGGTTCCATGCCCGCCCTGTGGTCTGTCTTGGTGTCCACAAAGGCGGTTGTCATCAGAAATGACACCAACTTGATACAGGTCTGAGCTCACCAAATCCAGGTGACTCAGTGGAGGGGGCCAGTCTTCCCCCACCTCCTGACACACCAACAAAGCCCCCAGGGGTCTGTGATTCATTCCCACTTAGAAAGCAAACTCCCTCCACCATGAGAGACAGAGGTCACCTGGAAGCCGCAGCAGATAGCAGCCCTGCTGCCACCTGAGGCCTTACTCTCCTCCCTAGGTTCAGCAGCGTGTCTGTTCAGGAGCCCACCAGCCATCGAGGTGGGGGCTCTGGGGGATACCTGGAGCACGTGTTCCGGCATGCAGCCCAAGAGCTCTTTGGAATCCACGTAGATGAGGTCACCTACAAACCCCTGAGGTCAGTGGGAAGGGCTAAGGTGGGGGCAGCCTCGGCCCTGGGTCCCTTGCTGAGGTGGGCTTGGCGGAAGACAGTGAGCTAGGTTTGGCGCAGATCCTGAGTGACTGGACAGGAGCTGGTCCTCTTCTCCGGCTCCCCTGAGTGGCCAGAACTCTCCAGGCCTTGATCTTCCTATTGTAAAGGTCAGGTCCCTTGCCCACCCCATGGCAGTCCAAAGACCCGAGAGGCTAGTGGTGGCAGGGTGGCAGACCCGGCACGGGATGTCCTGCTGGGACATCCCATCTCAGAAGGAGGGTAGGGCTTTGTGTCTGACCTCACTTCACCACATGGCCATCCTTGGGAAGCGGGGTTCCCATTCTACAGATCGGGAAACCGATCTGGGGTGGTCACCTGCTGACTCGTGGAATTAAGCTTTCTGCCCTCCCTCTCCGTCACTGTCCTACACTGGGAGCTGGTAAGGTTGACATGATGCCTGTGGGTGAGGATGAGCGTGGTGGTCTCTGCTCCCCAGGAACAAAGATTTCCAGGAGGTGACGCTGGAGAGTGAGGGCCGAGTCCTGCTGCACTTCGCTGCGGCCTACGGCTTTCGTAACATCCAGAACCTGGTGCAGAAGCTCAAGCGAGGGCGCTGCCCATATCATTATGTGGAGGTCATGGCCTGCCCTTCAGGTATTCTCAGCAGGCCCACTCACAGGTGGTGCAGGGGCCCCTGGTGGGGCTCTTTACTGCTGGTGTGCCAGCACCCTCCCCATGGCCATGCCCTCACCCTCGCCCATCCTGTTCGGCCACAGGTTGCTTGAACGGCGGAGGCCAGCTCAAGGCCCCCGAGATGCCCGGCAAGGAGCTCCTCCAGCATGTGGAGAGGCTGTACAGCATGGTCAGGACGGAGGCACCAGAGGATGTGCCTGGGGTCCAGGAGCTGTACGAGCACTGGCTGCACGGCAAGGACTCAGAGCGTGCTAGCTGCCTGTTGCACACGAGCTACCATGCAGTGGAGAAGGCCAGCTCTGGACTCAGCATCAGGTGGTAGGAGGGCTCACCATAGCCAGTGCCAGGACCTCAGGACCCAGGGCTTGCCCCCAAAATGGTGGGTGAGCTGCGAGGATGTACTAGAACCTACATAGAGATGGGACTCAGGACCCACAGCCAGTAAAGATGACTTCCAGCCTGGACTCTCCAGCGCAGGCCACAGTGTCCATAGGGTACTGGCACCTCTCCACAGGCCCATGTCTACGGGCAGTGCCCTTGCTCTTGCTGGTTGTGTTGAGCCAAGTGTGTGAAGGTTTCAGCCAGTCCCATGAGGAGCTTAAGGCAGAGTAAAAGTGGGGTTCCACCTGGCCCATGTGGCTCAGCTGTTGAGCATTGACCTATGAACCAGGTGATTATGGTTTGATTCCGGTCAGGGCACATGCCCAGGTTGCAGTATCGATCCCCAGTAAGGGGTGTGCAGGAGGCAGCAAATCAGTGATTCTCATCATTGATGTTTCTCTCCCCTTCTCCCTTCCTCTCCGAAATCAATAAAAATATATATATTTTTAAAAGTGGGTTTCCTTTCCATTTCTAGAGTTACTCCTGAAGCTCCGGTAGGGATGGGTCAGGCCTGCCCAGGTTAAGCTTACAGCCCAGCATGGGGAACCTACTGCACTTGGCAGCAAAGTACACCGGCAGGAAGCAGCACCCCGCCCATGGCACCCCGTGCTGGGGAAGGTGCCCGCTCCACCTGGACCTGGTGTCTATTTTAAGGAAGCTGTGGCCTCCAGGGCCTGGGAACCTATGTTCTCCACTGCTGGACCCCCACTTACAGGGCAGGGGAAGGAGGGGAGAGCACACAGGGCTCTGCCTGCAGGCCCGTCCCCACTGCACTGAAGGACTTCCCTCTGAAAGCAGCTTCTAAGAGCTTCTGCCAACGTTGAAAAAAAAGCTTTTCAGACTTTTAAAGTTCAAAAGCCCTGTACACCCTGCTAGACTATTTCCCAAACATTCAGATCTCAGGGCTCAAGTGCACCCCAGAGGGGCCCACATGTCCACCACCAGGAAGCACCAGAGTGCCCACCCTCCCTCACAGTGGGGCTCCCCTCTCTGGACCCGAGGGAGGGCTGTGCGCGAGAGGGGTCAGCTCCACACACACACACACACTGGGGGCCAGATAAAGAGCCCTGCTCCCTGCTCCAGGGGCTACCTGAGGGCCCGGGTGGAACCCCTCGCTCCAGGTTCAAGCTGACCGGCTGCTGCGGACGCCAGCTCCTGGCCAGACCACCGCTCGCTGCCGGCCGCGCCCCCTTGAGCCACGCCTTCACCCAGGCTCTGCCCCACCCAAGTCGCAGTCCGCAGGCCACGCCTCCTTCAACAGGCCCCGCCCTCCTGGCCTCTCCCCCACCGGAGCCCGCCAGTGTCCCACAGCGCCTTTCCCGGGCAGCCCGCCTACTCGCGCCGGCTGTGCGGACGGGCTGAAGGGCACCCGACAGAGGCGGCTTTCGGGCGCTGCTTACGGGACCTGGACGGAGCGCGGTGCTCAGCCTGGCCGCCACCAACGGCCCCCCGACCCGCCCGGCCCAGACCCTGCGTGCGGCGGGGCCCCAAACCTGCACTGGGAGCGCGCGTGCGCTGGACCGAGCCTTCCTGACCTTCCCTGCCCCTAATCAGGACATCTGCGCCCGCTTCCCTCAGGCTGGGGAGTGCGGGGTCTGTGCAGTTTGTTCTGCCCTCGGCCCGTCCCAGTGCCCAGCATCACTGGGAGGAACAAAGGCGGCTCCTAATGGGTGTGCGAACCACAAGGCAGGGCAGGGCACCTCCTACAGCAGTGGCAGCTCCTTTTCGTGCACGCTGCCTCACACCTGTCCAGACTGGGCGCGTTCAAGCACTCCTGGTTCCATCCGCGCCCCGGAAAATGCTGGGGTGCTGGTCTGCATTTCCCAGCTAAAGCAACTAAAGCCAGAAAAAAATGGTATGCAATATATGAAGGAGCCGAGTTCCCCCCACCTCCCCAACCACTGAACTGCTCTGTGTGCCCTTTCGTGGGAGAAGGAGGGGGCGGGGAGGCGGGAGACTCTGCGGACCAACAGAGACCTTAGCAACACAAGCCCTAGTGTCGCAACAGCAGGCCAGTAAACGAAGCTGCACTGGGCTCGGAGCAGCCAGAGTTCCTTTTGCCTATGGAGCGAGCGGCAGCCGCAGGCCCCAGGCCAGGGGCCCCATCTCAGGCCATTAAGAACGTGAGTCCTCCCAGGATGCTGCTGCTTCTACCTTGGGGTTGGGGTCCTCCCTGACCCCTCAGGAACATGTCCTGGGCCTGATCCTTGGCATGGGCCTGGCTTTCCCATCAGCTAGGCTGGGTATGTGGGGGTAGATGTGGGTGTGTGGGGGCCACAGCCTCGGCCTGAGACCCACCTGTGGGATGGGTGGCGGTTCCTCCCCAGGTTCTACCACTGACTGAGGATTCGCTGCCAGGAGTCCCTAGGGACGCCCCAGCCTGGGTCACCGGTCTTAAGACAGAGCTTCCCTCAGATCTAGAGCTGAGTGAGGAGCAACGGCTGCAAGTGAGTATAGGGGCCCTGAGGAGCTAGCAGGAGGGGGGTGCCCACAGGATCCCACAGGTACCACCTCTCACTCCGGCCACCCACAGATCTCCAAGGAGCTGGTCGACCTGCAGATCACAACCCATCGTCTGCGGGAGCAGCATGAGACTGAAATCTTTGAGCTGAAGAGTGAGGTGGGCGCTGATGTGTGCCCACAGATGCCAGCCCAAGTCCTTGGCGGGATGCGTACCTAGGACCAGTGCTATGGGGGGTTGCAGGTGTGCCCCTCGTGACGGGTGACAGGGTTCTCAGAGTATCTGATCCCTGAATGTCCCGCACGCGCTGTGTCCACGTGTGCCCAGATGGATGTTCATCTGGCCCAGCAGGCAGGCGCACCTGCTCACCCTGGTCACCCCACAGGTCCTGCGGCTGGAGAACCGGGTGCTGGAGCTGGAGCTGGAGCTGCATGGAGATCACGCAGCCCCAGCAAAGACTGATCCAGGGCACCTCCAGGCATTTGCACAGGAGCTTGAGCAAAAGGCCAGGGATCAGGAACACTGCAACCATCGCATTCTTCAGGTCACCATGAGCACATGGAAGGCCTGACTGGGTGGGAGCCAAGTAAGGAGTGCAGCAGGGGTGCAGTGAGGCTGGGACCCACTCTCCTGCACAGGCACAGCCCAAGGACTTCCAGGCGCCTGAGAACGAACTGCAGAAGCTGGGAAATGGCATGAGTGTGCAGTCATCTTGCCCGGCGCCTGCCCACATTTCTCCCAGCCCAGGGTTGGGGTGGGGCAGTGCAGGGGAGCCAGAGCTTGGGGTCTCATCCAACCAGCTCTATGTACCCCACAGCTACAGGGAGAAATGAAGTGGACGCTGGAGCAGCACGGGGCCCGCCAGCAAGCACTGGAGATGCGCGTGTGAGTGGCTGCCTTACCTGGCACAGGGCACGCAGCAGCTGCTCTAAAGGGGCAGAGAGAGTCCCCTATCCTGGGCCTCACTGAGCCTCACACCCATGTCTGCAGGGCAGCCCTGGGCCAGCAGCTGCAGGGAGCCCACGAGGAGGCCAGGACAGCCGGGCAGCGACTGGCTGCACAAGCTGTGGTGAGGCCCAGTTATACCCATTTGAGATCTGGGGGACGGGGTCCTATAAGCTTAGTAGAGGACCACCTCAAGGAGCATAGGTTCAAGGCTGCCTCCGTCCCCAGGTGTTGTCCACCTGCCAGGGCCAGCTCCGCGAGGCTGAGGCTGAGAATGCCAGGTTGCAATTGCAACTCAAGAAGATGAATGAGGAGTACACCATCCGGCTGCAGCGCTACTCCCGAGCCCTGGTGGTGAGCACTGGGCAGGGTGGCACTGTTGTGGGTGAGAGGCCCCCGGGTCCTGGGGAGCCCAAGCCTGGCCTGGGTTTGCTGAACTGTTTCAGGGACCCTCTGGGCCTCACCTACTGCACTGCAGAACCTGCTCCACACAGGAGCAGTGGGGAAGGGTGTGGGTCCTACCAAGCTCAGGCCCCACCCCATCTCCCCCAGGAATACGCAGATGGCACAAGCCAGGCACCTACAGGTGTAGCCCTCCGGACATTCCTGGAGACCACTCTGGAGGACATCCGAGCAGCACACCACAGCCGTGAGCAACAGCTGGCCCGAGCTGCTCGAGTCTACCGTAAGCGCCTGGCAGACCTGAGCCAAAGACATGAGGAACTGTTAGGTGCCCACAGGTAGGCCCTTCCCTTCCCCTGAGATGGGCATCTGGGGTGGGGTGGCTCTACATGACCCCCAGGTGGTTTAGTGTACAGCAGGTGCTGGCGGACCCCAAAGGAGCACCTGGGAAACCCAAGGCCACCTCTGATGAAGTCACCTCAAACCTGGAGCCACTGCCTCTGCGCCTGGTCACACAGCTCCAGAAGCTCCAAGTCCAGGTGACCCATCACTGCTGCCCCACACTGGCCTTGGGGCACCGAGCCCAGAACTCACCCTGCAGCCCATCCCAGCTCAGCAGGGCCCCTGAGCCCTGGGGCCTCTGAGCAGCCCGCCTCGTTCAGCTGAGAATCCCTATCACCAGCTTATCACAGAGGGCTCAGCGCACTGCCCTTTTTCCCACAGAAGAGACCTGACGAAGCCTCCCAGGGGAGCACATCAGAGCCACAGTGAGTGCCCTGGTGTGGGTGTCGGGGGGACCTGCAAGGGGGTACTCACTTATTCTAACGAGTCTTAACTGCTGGGTGGGGTTCTGGTTGCAGCAGTGAAAGTGGTGGGTCTGTGCCCTCCCTCAGGTCTGTCTGTATGGGAGACACTAATAATTACAGAAAAGCCAAGTCCCCGGGTGAAGGGGGCCCTGACGGGAGAAGGGCTGTCCTCAAGGGCGGGTGAGGGAGAGCCCAGGGAAAGGTGTTTCAGTTGAGCCAAGGGACAGGGCAGGAGCAGGTTACCTGGTGCCCTTCACAGCCTTTCCTCTGGGTGCCATGCTTCCAACAGTGCAATGAACAGGGGTAACGCAGGCCCACCTCACACGGTTTTGGGAAACAAACCCCCAGCACAGGGGGAGGCCCCCTAGCACCCTTACAGACACTGGGGACGCTTCCCAAGCTGGCCTGGGGCCCTCTTGACCTGGGCTGCCCTGCCCCCATGCACAGATGGCTCCCATAGTGGCAGGGTGGGTCCTTGCTGTCCTGAACTTGCCCCCAGCAGGCACCTCAAGTATTTAGGTGCCCCGACTTGAGCAGTGCCACTGGTCAGCTCCTGGGCCAACACCTGCCCTCATGTCCACTCCCCCTTCTTCTCTCACAGGAGCCTGGAAGCTGAATCCTGGGCCCAGATCCACCAGAAACTCCGGGACTTCTATCATAGCACCCAGGTAGTGAGGGGGCAAGGTGTGGCCAGGGATTCCGTCCTCATACTCTGTTCTGGCTCATGCCTTATGCCCCTCCAATGTCAGGCAAAGCTGGAACGTGAGCGGGCAGAGCTGCTAGTCAGAGCCACGATGGCTGAGGCCCAACTTTCTGAGCTTCAGGAGTATGTGGACCAGCACTTAGGCAGGTGAGCTTTCGGAAAAGTGGGATGGATGTGGATCTCAAACACTAGAGGCAGGGCTTGTCCACGGCCTGGCAGATTACTAAGGCTGGTCCCTCTGAGCAGGTACAAGCAGGAGATCCTGAGGCTGAGGAAGCTGGTGGGTCCAGGAGACACACAGAAAGTGAAGGCCGTACCTCCAACCAAGCCTCAGCGCCCAACCCGCAGCCGATAACCAGTATCAGATAAACTCAGAGCACACCTCTTCCCGGCCAGCAGGGAACCCTCCCCACAGCCCCAGCTTGGGAAGCCACTGAACCCAACCCTCCACACAACAAGAGTCAGGTGGAGCCTACTGAGTCTTTATTGGATCCACAATGCAATGGTCAGCAGCCTGAGGGTCAGGGGTCCTAGGGACCAAGGCAGAACTGGGTGCTGGGGCAGCCTGCCCACCTGGCCCACCACCGTGGACGTCATAGGCCCAGACACGGTCCAGGCCCTCACCCACCACAGCCACAGGGTGCCAGGTGGGGAGGGGGAAGCGTCCCGACACCACGCGGGCCCCCTCAGGTAGTTCTGCCTGTAGCTTTCCCTCCAGCAGTGGGAGCTGTGGGAGAGAGCAGGAGTGGGGTGGGCAGGGCAGAACACAAGTACCCCCTCCCAGCTCCTCCAGGCCCAGCACATACACTGGTGGCCTGGGCCTTCCCTGGGGCTACCAAACCCTACACCTACCACGCTGGGGGCCAGGAACACACACACGTTGTGGCAGTCCCTCAGGCTCACCTGTGGGAAGAGGAGGTCACCCCAGTAACGAATGGAATTCCAGCCCTGGAAGCGGTCTAGTGGGCATGGGGTTACCTCAGCTTCTGAGTGCAAGCCCCAGCTTGCCCAGGAGGCAGGGACACCTGGGGCTGTCAGCAAGGTAGCCACGCCAGAACTGAAGCGTGGAGATCAGGTGTGGGGTCTGAAGGAGTCCAAGACTCCCCAGGTTACCTTCCAGAGATCCTCACGGTGGTAGCAGACACTGCCGGCACAGCCTGCCCTCCAGGCATGCAGCCTTGCCAGCCCCACCAGCCACGGGTTCAGCTCATAGCCCACAGCGGGGCGGAGACCGCATCTGTGGGCAGCCAGCACCTGTGCGCACCAACAGCGTCAGAACCCGCAGGTTGGGAGAGAGCAGGGAGCGTGGCCCCCGCCCCGCCCCCCACGGCTTACAATCCTGCCATCGCCAGAGCCCAGGTCCACCAGCTTTCCAGAACGGCCTCGCAGCAGCGACAACACGTGCTCCACCTGCCGCACACTCGCACCAACATAGGGCACCTGGGCAAGGAGACATGTGGCTGGGAGGGCTGGAGTCCATTAGCCACTCGGGCTCTTCACACGCCTGGTCCCCTAATCGGAATCATACCGGTGGCGGGCGGAGCCTGCCTCCTGGGCTCCTTTCTTCGCATGAGCTGCCCTGCCCTACCTGACACAGGTCCCAACCCACAGCCTGGCTGGCCCCTAGGCAGCACCCACTCCGCTCACCACAACCGGACTCAGCACCTCAATGCAGGCCCCGCCCCCAGCCCTGGCCCCGCTCACCGGCCGGAGCCGCGTCCCTCGTAGGCCCCGCCCCAGCCGTGACCCCGCCCATCTGCCAGAGCCGCGTCCCTCGTAGGCCCCGCCCCAGCCATGACCCCGCCCATCGGCCAGAGCCGTGTCCCTCGTAGGCCCCGCCCCAGCCATGACCCCGCCCATCGGCCAGAGCCGCGTCCCTCGTAGGCCCCGCCCCATCCATGGCCACGCCCATCGGCCAGAGCCGCGTCCCTCGTAGGCCTCGCCCCTCACCTGCAGCCGCAGAGGCACCCGGCGGAAGCCCGGCTGCAGGAGCAGCGCCCACACGGCGTAGGCGGCCAGGCCCGAGCCCGCCGCCACCTGCAGCAGCTCCAAGCGGCTGGGCTTGCGCTCGCGCAGCTCCGTCAGCGCCTCGGCCGGGTCGTCCTGCTCCATGGCTGCGAAACACGCTGCTCACAGGTGTCCTTCGCAGGTCTGAGACCATCGCACCGGCCCGAGACCGAGCCGGAAGTGGCGGGGCGGAGGCCGTTGCGACGCCGGAAGGGGCCGACGGAACGCGCGACTTGTCCCTTCGCGTTCTGCTCTGCCAGGGACCAGGGTCCCTCCCTGGCGCTCACCCTAAAGCAGCGGTTTTCAACTGGTGTGCCGCAGGAATTTTGGAAACATGCAGTACCTATGTAGTCAGGGACCTTGACCTCTTTTCCCTTAACTGTCAGATTTTAAAAATGCAAACCAGCCCAGCCTGTTGTTGAGAGTGGAGCTTTGATTCCCAGTCAGGGCACATGCCCAGGTTGCGGGCTCCATCCCCGAGGGAGGGTGGGGGAGCGTGCAGGAGGCAGCGGATCAATGATTCTCTCCCATCATTGATATTTCTATCTCTCCCTCTCTCTGAAATCAATAAAAATGCATTTTAAAAAATGACAAACCAACCCAACAATAAGCCATCTGTTGTGAATGAATCAAAATTATACCTCTTTTTTGTCAGATCGTCAAAAAAATATACTTTTTGGTGTGTCCCAGAACTTTAGTAATTAATTTGTGTCATGAGTGAAAAGGGTTGAAAATTGCTGCCCTGCAGCATGGAGCTGGCCATCACCACATGGGACTCCACAGCCAGCAGCTAGACCGGGTGGCACAAGGGTAAGTCCTCTTGCCTCAGAGCCACTGTCCTTTTCGTTAAATACACTGAAGAAATCCTCACGGGATTCCCTCCCGCCGCCCCGTCATCTTGTACCCAAGCAGTTGAAGTCCTGCATTCTCATCGCACTTGGTACTTTCCTGCCAGGCTGTTTCATCTGGAAAGGTGTTTGCTGGTTTCTTTGTGAAAGAGCTGCATGTAATACCAGTCTCTGCAGGTGACACTCATCATGATCTCCCCTACTCAAATTGATCACTGTGCCTGGCTGCAAAGAATAATCAGAAAGGATATTCAAGTAATATCTGCAGACGTCTCGTGATTATTTCTGGTCTTACATTTTTCATCGTTGATAACCTGATGGCTATTATGACAGATACTGGGAGTCACAAGATGTCGCCATGATCCAACTAGAAGTGCCAAGGTGTCTCATTAACAAGGATCAAATCGATGCCTCACAAAAGGAGAAATGGAAGGACACCAAGTCAGTATGATCAGAAATTAAAACTGGACGCCTTTGGGCTTTTGGGCCTTTGGTCCTTTTGGAAGTCTCTTGAGCATTTTTAAATAGAAATAAATTTGGGCTTCACACACACAAAAAAACTTTCCTGCAGTTGTCTCACCTATGAAATTGACCTGGCTACCATCCCGTCTTCATTGACAAAACCCCTCAGGGCTGCTTGATGCTGACAGGTCACCTTTTGACTCCCCATAATTTACAGGAAGTTCCTTGTTCTTATTTAAATAATTTTTTCTTTTATTTTTCAATCCTCACCTGAGGGTATGTTCATTGCTTTTAGAGAGAGAGGAAAGGAAAGAGAAACATGGATGTGAGGGAGAAACATAGATTGGTTGCCCCTTATACACACCCCAACTGGGGACTGGAACCCACAACCTAGCGATGTGCCCTGCCTGGGAATTGAACCCATGACCTTTCAGTGTACCAGATACTCCAAACAACTGGCTCAAGCTGATTGTTCTTATATAAGTGGTAAATATTGGACTGGGCATCCTATTTTTTATGATTTTTTTTCACGAATTTGCATGCCATCCTTGTGCAGGGGCTAATCCCTGTTTCGTTCCAGTTTTGGTCTATGTGCTGCCGAAGCGAGCACTGGGTATGCTATTTTTTAAAAATATGTTTTTATTGATTTTAGAGAAAGGAAGAGGAATGGAGAGATAGAAACATCCATCAACTGCCTCCTACACACCCCCTACTGGGGATGGAGACTGCAACCTGGGCATGCACCCTGACCTGGAATCGAACCAGTGACCTCTTGGTGCATGGGTTGATGCTCAAGCCACTGAGCCACACGGGGTATGCTATTATAGCTACTTTTGAAGTCATCAAGGCAGCACTTTGCCTCTGGCTACCTCAGCCCAGCTTACTGAATTACACACTTACTCTAGTTTGTGCTCTGGCCAAAGGCAAAACCAAACATTTATATCAATAGTTGCTATGCCTTTGGGGTAGTTTGTGACCACAAGGTTTCCTTACCTCTAATGGGGATACAACTAAGTATGGCTCTTAAGACCAAAAACTATTAGATGCCATACTCCTACCCGCCACCTTGGCTATTAAGACGCTTGGACATTCCCAGCTTGACTCCCTGGAGGCTAAAGCATACAACCTCACTCATATATTTCCACCACCAACGCTGCTCTCAAAGGAACCAATAGCCAAGCCTGTCATGGTACAAAGGGAGGCTCCCCAAATGATAATGTAGAAAAACTGACTAGGAATGCTCTAAAATTGGCCCCATTAAAGGAAAAACAATACTAGAACTCTAATAATTATTGGTTTGATGAAAAGAGAGAACTCTGGCTTGAGCCAAATAACAATCCACTCCAGCCAGAAATTCTAAATTCCCATTACTGTGCACGCGTTGAATTGTTGGTCACTGATAAAATTATAACCGTCATGAACCAATACTGGTGTGGAAATGTTAATAAGGCCACAAAAAGCATCTACTTTTCTTGCCCCACCTGCCCAAAAAATAATCCAAAAGAAACTGTCCACACCACGCACAAACATTTTAAATTGCCTAACAGATCATTCAAGGTGTGGCAAATGGACTTCATTCATCTAACCCGAAACCTGGGTATGTGCCCCACCCCCCCATCTCATAGATACAAGTATGTCTTGGTAATAATATGTGTTTTCCCCTTGAGTCAAAGCCTTTCCACATTGACAAGCTACATGTCTGTTCATTGCCTAATCCTATTGGGGGGGGGGGGGAGGAAATCATCCCTACCTGGGAAACTCCTCTTGAGCTCCACAGTGACTGGAGAACCAGTTTTACTGGTCAAATATTACGGCTAGATGGTGCTATTTGGCCAGTTCTATAGCATTTTCACTTGTCATCCTCTGTACTCAGGACTAGTTGAACAAGCCAACGGTATTATCAAAACTCAATTGGCAAAATTTGTGCAAACCCTCCAAATACCTTGGCTGAAAGCGTTGCCATTGGTCCTTCTAAATCTCAGATCCACCCCCTTTAGAACTAATTAACTCTCAACCTTTGAAATAGTCATAGGGTGCCTGATTCACGTAGCCTCTACCTCTTTTGATCTACAGCTAATAAAAGAGGTACATTTCAATATTCCAAAAGTCTGTTGTGTCCATTGAAATTGACCATGTTTGGCCCTAGCCAGTTTGGCTCAGGATATAGAGCGTTGGCCTGTGGACTGAAGGGTCCCAGGTTCGATTCCGACTAAGGGCACATGCCCAGGTTGTGGGCTCAATCCCATGGGGGTGTGCAGGAGGCAGCCAATCAATGATTCCCTCTCATCATTGATGTTTCTATCTCTCTATCCCTCTCCCTTGCTCTCTGAAATCAATAAAAATATTTTTTAATAAAAAGAAAAGAACTATGTTTGCCCTGGCCAGTGTGGCTCAATGGCCAGAGCACTGGTACACACACCAAAGGGACTCAGGTTCAATTTCCAGTTAAGGGCACATACCTGGGTTGTGGGTTTGCTCGCCCCCAGTTGGGGCTTGTTCGAGAGGCAACCAATTGATGTCTCTCTCACATAGATATTTCTCTCTCTCTCTCTCTCTCCCCTTCCACTCTCTCTGAAAAGCAATGGAAAAATATCCTCAGATGAGGATTTAAAAACAAGAAAAGAACCATGTTTTAGTTTGCAATAGCACACACCATCTGCTGCGCATGGATAAATTCTTCTGGATAAGTAGAAACCCAATTACTCAAAATTGAGGGAACGAGTCCACTGGTTACAGCAAATTTCACCTGATTCTCCATGTTCCTTTGACCTATTTAGCTGGTTACCTCAGGTCTGAGCTCCTGATTTAGGACCATTATACAAAGTGGAGTATATTCTGCTCTTTTTTTTTTTTTTTTGGTATAATTTTCTTTTCTTTTTTTTAAATCCTCACCCGAGGATGTGTTTTTTTGTTTGTTTGTTTTTTGTTGTTTTTTTTTTTAAATATATTTTATTGATTTTTTACAGAGAGGAAGGGAGAGAGAGATAGAGAGTTAGAAACATCGATGGGAGAGAAACATCGATCAGCCGCCTCCTGCACATCTCCCACTGGGGATGTGCCCGCAACCCAAGCACATGCCCTTGACCGGAATTGAACCTGGGACCCTTCAGTCCACAGGTCGACGCTATATCCACTGAGCCAAACCGGTTTCGGCCCGAGGATGTGTTTTTCATTGATTCTATGGAGAGCGGGAGAGGGAAACATCAATCAATTGGTTCTTCATGAACATACGCCGACTGGGGATCGAACCCGCAACCTGGGTATGTGCCCTGACTGGAAATCAAACCTGTGACCTTTTGGTGCACAGGGTGATGCTCTAACCACTGAGAACACCGGCCAGGGCTGTTTGTATAATTTTCAAACTTTGTACCTGTTATCTGTCAAGATTCTGTGGAAATGGTGCCCTAACCCTAAATGATGCCGGCTCGTTGCTTTGAGATGCTCTGCAATGCTTCTAACACTGATAGGACAGACTTTCCATGGGAAGGCCCTTCCTTGTTAACCATTTCCAATCTCTATGCACTTTCCCTCCTACATGGAACATGGCAATCAGGAAAGGTGCTTCCTGACTCAGAGGGACAAAACTACCTAATGTAGAAAACTGATTATTGGTCAGTGGTGCTTTCAGAGAAAGATCCTGATCAAAGGGGAAAACGTAGGAAAGAATGAAGGAAGCCTTATAAAACGGGAGTCAGGAGACCTTGCAGGGGGAGCTCTCCTGCGTTCACTGCACCTTGCAGACTCACACAAGGAAGCCTACGTTGTCACTCCAGCAGGAGGAAAATTTCTCCTTACCCAGCAACAGCCCAGCCAATGAGAAGCCACCACCACCCTCTACGCCTGCTCTACTCCAATGGACTTTTGCTTATAACCACCTCTCTCAACTTCCTTTTTCTCTATAC